GGAAAGAAATGCTCGATCAGGAACGATTGGTTGAAAAGCGGTCACCTGACATACGAGAGACTAAGAGAGATGGATGTGCGCCGCCCCACCAAAGGTACTGCGAGGAAGTAGGGGCGAAAACAATAGCGATAATGGAGAAGACAGAATTAATGCAGTTTTTGGAATTGTCGAGAGGGCCCTGACGCCGACGGACCCACCCCAGTTTGTTGCGGCGTCAATATAAGCAGGACCCCAGTCGACAGAAATCAGTTGAGTTGAGTTGGAGTTGCAGTTGAGAGTTGGACCGCGGGCAGGGATAGAGCCTGAACGCGGCCATCAGGCCCGATTCACTCGCCCCTTTGCGGGCAGAAGAATCCTCAGACAAGAAATCCTTCCAGCCCAAGTCGAAGACAGGAGAACTTCCAGCCCAAGTAGACGAAGAAGAAGATTGCCTGAAAGCCTGAGAAGAATTGGAGCTGCAGACAAGCCGAAAGTCGATGAGAAGTTAAAGTTCAGCTCCGGACGGCAGTGAGAAGAGACCACCTCAGACGACAGAGAGTTGCGGCTAAGTTGAAACAAGAAATCTTCCACCAAGTTGAAACAGTAAAACTACCAGCCCAAGTAGACGAAGAAGAAGAAATACAACTCAAGTCGGAGAGAAGAATCAACTGCGAATGATCGATAGAAATTAGCCCCAGTGTCGAACTGAACCACACCCGACATACATACATGATTCTAGAAAGTAGGTAATTCGACATTTTTCTATTGTGTGATAGAAGCTTGGTGCCATAGTCCACAGAGCGGGTCGGGAATTGAGAACAATTTTGTTTTTTACGTAACGGACTTTAAGATATAAAAGGTTGTTACCCTTTTTTATCAGCAATTTTGTTTGGTGTCGTGAGTTTTTATTTTATTTGTGTTTTGCCACCCCTGTCGGACTCAACTTGTATCGGCCCCTGATCCCTGCTGGTCCCGTCTGTCTAAGATCTAAACACAGCGTGGGTAGACAGACCGGAGATCGGTATAGTTGCTTTAGTGACCAGGTATTGGAAGCGAGTCGGGAAAGGCGAGGCTGGTGATCATCTGACCAAAGGGTTGGAGCGGCACGCTTGGACCCAGGAGGAGCGACCAGGAGGAGCGACGTCACCGTTGGCGCCGTAACCAAAGGATCCGACACTGGGCCAGGTGTGTAACCGTCACAAGTGGTGCCGTGACCAGGATCAACCCTGAGACAACCGTCACACAGATAATTAAATTTCTCTAGCTACGGGGACTTCTTCTTTAATATTCCGTGTCCTTTCAGGGCGTAGGCGATCATAGCCCTCCACTTCCTTCTGTTCCTTGTAGCTCTCAATAAGTTTTGTCCTCACGTTATCTCTCCAAGACCCCGTTCCTGCATCCACTTGCTTAAGCCTCTTATGTCACGTGTTACTTTCCCTTGTTTCTCTTTCCCTCTATCCGCTCTGTGAGTATCAGATTTTCCAAGCCCTCCTTTCTCATTTCGTGTCCCAGAAATTTCAACTACCTCTTCCTGATGTTTAGCATAAATTTCCTTTTTGTTTGCTTCCTCTCGAAAACCTCATCGTTGCTCATATGTTCGGTCCATGGTATCCTTAGCATCCTTCTGTAGAACCATACCTCGAGTCTCTTCTTCATCTTTGAGAAGATTGTCCATCATTCGTTGCCATACAGGAGAACAAATATCACGTAACAGTTCAGTACTCTTTTCTCTGTTTCTAACGAAATTTTCCTGTCTCTTAATACTCTGCTTAGCTTTTGGAATGCGTCTTTGGCCATCACAATACATGTTCGGATCTCAACTTCGCACTTTCCGTCCTCTGTCAGAACGCTTCCCAGATATTTAAATTTCCGTACTTGTTTGATGAAATGCGATTTGCTTATCAGGGACACTAAATGTCCCCGACATGTAAATCGCGTTTTGGGCTTATCTTTTTGCTGATAACTATGCATTCTGTCTTCTTGTATTTTATGCTTAGTCCCTTCTTCTCGCTCTCCTTCGCTACCTTCTGTAGGAGGTTTTTGTAGTTTCCTTTTCGTGCCTGCTATTAGCACTATGTATCTTATGTTTAAGATTGTGGCCGCCAATGATGAATCCTGGTAGGATTTCCAGTTCTCTCAGAACTGCCTCGCTGTATAGGTTGAATAAGTCCGGTGAGAAGACACATTCTTGCCTTACGCCTCTTTCTATTTTTGTATATCTGCTGAACTTATTTTTTATTTTTATGCAGGCGGTTAATTTGGCTTTAAATAACCTGCAAGAGGTTGATAAATCGTAAAAAACAAACAAATATATACAGTGTAAACCGGATATAAGAGAGTTGTCGGGACCGGAGAAGAAGTCTCTTATATCCGGGTTTCTCTTATATCCGGGTTTGGTCTATTTTGTTTAGGTAAGTATGGCTCTAATTTGGGACCAGAGAAAATCGCTCTTATATCCGGGTTTCTCTTATATCCGGGTTACACTGTATTAAAAATACTCAGATAAACATGACTAAAGATTACTATCTCTCCAAGACCCCGTCCCTGCATCCACTTGTTTAAACCTCTTATGTCACGCGTTACTTTCAATTTCTCTACAGCCAACATAGATTTTTGATTATTCTAATGTCTTTTTCCGAATATGTCAAGGTTGCTGAGCAGCTCTAACTTTGTCGAACGCCTTTGCGTAGTCTATAAAACACAGGTGCAAGTCCTTGTATTTGTAATGCTCTTTCTGATAACATTCTGAGCGTGAATGTCACGTTCCTTATCCCGGTGTCTTTAACGAACGGAATTTAAGCCCCTCAGGCCGAAGGAAGTTATTGGTGGAGCGGGGGACAATGCTATGATCGCCATAGTTCTAACATTCACTTTTTCTGGAAATGGACACTCTATCGTGCGTGAACCTCGCGAATAAAAATAATGTCCAGTAGATGTACGAGCCCTACGGGCACTAGAGAATTGAAAAATAACAACCCACTTTTTCGTGTCCTGTCTGGTATAGAATATTAAATAATTTATTTTTAAGTGTCGTGTTCATTCAGGACATAGGCGACCATGGCTCTTCACAACTTCCTATTCTTTGTAGCTCTAATCAATAATTGTTCCCTTACTATTCATTCCAGTCGCTGTTGTGCCGTCCATTTACACAAGATGTTTAGGTAGCTCAGTCGATGTTTCCTCAGTACCTCTTGACTTCAATATGTCCTGTGACGGTCAAATTCTCCAAGCCCGCTTTCCTCATTATGTGTCCCCCAAAAATTCAACTATCGGTTCCTGATTCTACATAACTTTTTGTTTCAAAAAACTTACTCGTTACTTATATGCTCAGTCCATGGTATTCTCGGCAATTTTATGAAGAACAACATCTCTGTTGCCTCAAGTATTCTGTACATTTGTGAATAAATCATCGAATATTCACTGCCCTATATGAGGATTCATATTACATAAAAGCTAAACATTCCATTTTTTTTATTCTGACAAAAGTTTCTTGTTTCTTAATAGCTTGTTTAGATTTTGGAAGGCATCTTTTGCTCAGTTCGTTTTCGCCGATAATAAATCACGATAGACCTTATTGTTCTTTCGGGATTGCCCCACTCTAAAGGTTAAATACATCCGGTCAGAAAACGCATCCTTGTCCGATGCTCATTTCTGTTTTTTTGTATTACTATATCTATTTTCTATCATTTTGCTCTCAACAAATATTTGGGACTATTTTGATATCTTTCCTAAATAAATTAAGTTTTCCTAGTAGTTCAAATATATCTTTTTACCATACTTTATCAAATGCTTTTGCGTAGTCTATAAAAATAGGTATAGATCTTTCTACATTTTTATTGTTTGCTGGGTAGCGAAAGATGCCTTCATAAAGATCGCATTTTTTTTTATTCAAGTGTCTTTAAAGAAACCGCTCTGTCTTTGATTATGGTTTAAATCTTGGTAATTCCTGTGAGAGCATTATCTTACTGTCTATATAGAGCACATAATGAGAAAAGAGGGCTTAGAAAATCTGACACTCACGAGACATATTGATGGCAAGAGGGGCAGAAGAAAGCGGCACATAACCTACCTAATGGACATGTATTAATGGTCAGCAGAGCAGAGATTAGGAGAAATAGCCAAAAGAGTGACATTACTAAGAGCTACAAACGACAGGAAATTGTTGGGAGCTATGATCCCTACGTCCTGAAGGGACACGACACAGAATAAAAAGAAGAATCAACATGACTCTCACTCGAACAGTTCTTTCATCGAGAAATGATACACAATGCTAAGATAAGACAGGAGTAAGTTAAACCCAGGCAGTTTCTTCCCCGGAATTTTTACTCCCGGGAGGATACTTCCCTGGCCCCTACAATCTTAACCTTTTCAAGTCGATGATCATCAATTATCTAATATGGAACCCTTCCTAACGCAATTTACATCCCCATTAAGGAACCCTCTAACTTGAGTGGCTTTAAGGCCTTGTATGGTCTGAAATTCTTCAAGACGAGGTGTAGATTTAATGCTTCCAAACCAAAGTATTTTAAAAGATTTAATTTTATCCGTTTTATCCGTTTTCTCTAATATCTTTTAATTGCGAAAATAATCTAGATTTTTAATGATTTCTCTTAAAAACCTAGCAACTTATTAGCTTTCAATGTTATGATTTTTCTCATTGCAGGTGCCATTAACTGGATCCAGCATAAACCCAGCCCGTTCTTTGGGCTCTGCAGCTGCTGCAAACGACTGGGAGGATCACTGGGTATGTCATTTTATTGATTGATTGATTTTTTTACGGTCTATCAACCCATTAGAGGCCATCTAAAGCCAGAAAATAATTTTAGATTTTAAGAATTTTTTTTAGATAATAATGATTTAGTGATACAGGTCATACTAATTAACCCATAGTCGGGGAAAGAAGAGGTGGAGTCATACTTTTCGCAAATTTTGAGAATATAACGAACCTGACTGGAATTCGAACTCGACTCTCCTATTAACAATTCCGAGCCATTGTGTATTCCAACACCCGCACATCTAAGCTTACATTACATGGTATTCCCAAGCGGTCACCGATCTACGTACTGAGAAAGCTCGACGTTGCTTAACTTCGGTGATCGTACGAGAACCGGTGTTTCAACGTGATATGGCCGTAAACTCCAAGGCATTTTAACACAGAGACAGCGTGACTTTGAAACGCAATATAATACCGTTTATTTAGATTTCCAAAATCAAACGATTTTTTTATAAATCTCAGTTACTGACAAGCATGTCCTTCGGAGTTACTTCCTTTTTGCATCATTAAAGCTAAGCTAGTATCGTTTCATCCTCACCATTCAGACACCGAGTTTTCTCTAGTCACGATGAACTATTGCACATTCAATAAAGCTGCATGCTTTGAATATTTATTGGGTCTCAACTCGAACATATATAAAACCCATTGCTAAAGGGGCTGGGAAAATTGTCAGCTTATTTAAGAAGAATCTTGCCTCATTATCGTCATAATCTTCACTTCCTACCACATTCCTCATTTAATATTACCACTCTGACTATAACCCTCTTCCCTGAGTGCATCTCGAGTTTTTGTTGGATACATTTTAGCATAAAACATTATTTAATATTTCACTTGGTTTATTTGACGACCTCCGATTAGTATTGTGAACTTTCAATACTTTTACTAAATACAGACACACACACACACACACACACACACACACACACACACACACACACACACACACACACACACATTCACTCACATACACACATATATATATATATATATGTATATGTGTGTGTGTGTATAAATATATATATTACTAGCAGTAGAGCCCGGCGTTGCCCGGGGATGTAACAGTAAGAGATAGATCAAGTATCGACCATCATAAAGACTGAAAAATAAAATTGACAAAGATTATTGTTTAAGGTTGACGGACACGCATGTCTTAATTAGTTTTTTTTTTTTTTTTTTTTTTTTTACGAATTGGTCAAACCCAAACTCAAACAAAAACATTGTTTTCAATCGTTATGAGTCTACCGATTGAATAGAATTTTATTATAAACAATTGTCTTGTAAATGGAATCTCTAAAGAATTCTGAATGTAAAAATAAAGAAAAAGCTGACAGAATTTCCTTCTTGCCTGAGGATTATTCATAATTTGAAAAAGTTGATCAGTAAAATTAATCATGTGTGTGTGTGTGTGTGTGTGTGTGTGTGTGTGTGTGTGTGTGTGTGTGTGTGAAGAAAGAGAGAAATGGATAAAAGTCATTAATCTTATGAATAAGAAAATCTCGTAGGAAAAATGGAAAATAAAGTTCTGACAACATCGATACGCAACAACCAAGAAGGCTCTTTCATTTGTGAATTTGAGACTTTTCATTATTACTAAATTGATCGATGTTATCAAAGTTCTGTGCTTTCTATATAGGCAATTTTCATAACCGTAGAGTTCTTTTTCTATGTATGATTACAATAAGCAGGCATAATTTATTTATGACTGTTTTCTTCTTTTCCAGGTTTACTGGGTCGGACCGATTGTTGGAGGTTGCGCCGCTGCCCTGCTTTACAAATATTTCCTTAATCCCTACAGGAATATGCCTACTATGGATGAAACACTACAAATGGGTAAGTTGGCTTCTAAGGACATTCCTCAGCTCATAGAATTGATCATTTACAAGACGTCGAATTTCGTAACGTTGTTAAACCTAATTGAAAATTATTGAATCAGATAAATTCAGAAATATATACACAAACTTCATTGTGTGATTTCTTTATATGACACAGCAGACTTTTTCCAGTTCATATTCAAAACTATGCCAGAATCGATCAAATACAGAAATTTAGCCATCTGGGTATGGTTGTAACCATCTGGGTAATGTTGTAGCCGACGAAAGAAAATCAGAGCTGTGATAACTTGGAGACTCACTGCTGATATCTCGTCTTCAGCATGGTGGACGGACAGTTGTGTACTGTGCATTTGCGTCCCGGACAATTGCGTTCCAGTCAATTGCGTCCCTGGATATTTGCGTCCCTAGACAAATATGTCCCTGGATAATTGCGTACCTCTGATACTTTTTTGAAGTTACCATTTTTTTAAAGAGTTGTTTAATATAGAAATTTGACAGCCAATACCTTTAATTTTACTAAACAAGCAGAAAGGTAGTTAACATAAATAAAAAAAAGAAAGAAAAAATTATTTTTTAAAGCATGAGAAAATTAAGCTAGCAGTTTTAATTCAATCCAGCAATGCGTACCCCAAACATTTAATAGATTCTGAATTTTATGGATTATATTATTATTTGGAACCCATAGCTAAGTTCCGAAAATCAAATACTGGTGGAAAAATATTTGTGGACGAGGAAAATTACAGCTACCACTATCATAAGAAAAACGCCAATAAAGGAAAAACATTCTGGCGATGTGTAAAGCGATCTTGCAAGACTGTTAATCTGTCATTGCATTTCAAAACAAAATAAAACTTTTAATTATTTTTATTTTATTCCTTTTATTCTTTTTTTTTTTAATTTATGATTAATATATATGCTTTGTTTTTTGAAAATTCATGATAATTGCCTTTAAAAGCCTCAAAAAATTATCAGAGGTACGCATTTATCCAGAAACGCATTGTTCTAGGGACGCAAATGTTCAGGGACGCAATTGTTTCGTACGCAATTGTTCGGGTAACAAATGTCCAATACGCAACTCACCTAGAACCTTTCAACATGGCCGCTCGTTTACAAGCTCAGGCCAATTTTTGATTCTCCAACACCCGCAGCTCCAACTATGCTGTCGACAAAAAAGATGACACAGAAAGTCGTTTAGAAACAGCGAAAGATGATTTGCTGAAAATTTTATAACATCGGGAATATCGTTAAAAACTAAGAAGAGTGCTGAACTAATGCGCCGTATGAAATCATATGAAATTCATATGGATATGAATGCTGGACAATTTCTTCATAGATGAAGGAGTGACTTAAAGCGACAGAGACATGGCTAAAACTATTTCTTCATTATGAGCCGTGGACATAGGCGATTATGGTTCTCCAAATTTCCTGTCCTTCATAGCTATTAATAAATTGTCTTTTTGTTATTTTTCCTAAACCTTGTTCCGCCATCCATTTACTCAAGCTCACTAAATATGTTATGCGTTGTTTTCCTCTGTGTCTCTTTCTTTCAATCTGTCTTGTGAGTATCAGATTTTCCAAGCCCTCTTAATCTTAACTGTCTCTTCCAGTTGTTAAATATGTTTCCTTTTTGTTCCCATTTTCACTAAAACTTCGTCGTTGCTAAAATATTCGGTCCATGGTATCCTCTGCATCTTTCTCTTGTTTCAAGTCTCTTCTTTATCTATGAGGAGAGTGTCCAACATTTGCTTCCATATAGAAAGACATATATCACGTAAGAGTTCAGTACTGTTTTCTTTATTTCTATTGCTTCAAGTCTCTTCTTCATCTGTAAGGAGTAGAGTGCCCAGCATTCACTGCCATATAGGAAGACTGATATGACGTAACAGTTCAGTACTCTTTTCTTTGTTTCTCTTGCTTCAAGTCTCCTATTTATTTGTGAGGAGATTGCCCAGCATTCACTGCTATTTAGGAAGACTGATATTAGGTAACAGTTCAGTACCCTTTTCTTTGTTTCTATTGCTTAAAATCTCTACATCTGTGAGGAGATTGTCCAGCATTCACTGCCATATAGGAGGACTGATATTATGTACCAGTTCAGTACTCTTTTCTTTGTTTCTATTGCTTCAAGTCTCTTCATCTGTGAGGAGATTGTCCAGCATTCATTGTCATATAGCAGGACTGATATTACGTAACAGCTCAGTTCTCTTTTCCTTTTCTCTAACCTTCGGTTGCTGAAAAAAGCCATGGACGGAACATGTGAGCAACGAGGAAGTTTTAAGGAAAATGTAAACAAATAAGCACATTAATCCTTACTATCAGAAAGTGATAGTTGAAATTTCTGTGACACATTATGAGGACAGAGGGCCTAGAGAATTTAACACTCATAGAACGCTGAAGGCAAGAGAAGCAGGGGTGAAACCCCGAGTAAACTATTTAACGACTTTGTGTGAATGGATGGTCAAACAAAGAGGCCTTGTAGAGTCAAAAATAACTTTGCAGGGAGCTATGATCAACTAAATTATGAAAGTAAATGACAGATAAAAGGTGAATGTGCTAAGAAGGTTTGGGGAATTTAACAGTCACATGCAAGAGAAGCAGAGAAAAGCAGTGAGTAACCTACTTGACAAAACAGAGGAAAAGTGTCACAAAGAGAAAGAAAGGTTGGTTATAAGGAGGAGGAAGAACATTCGGGAAGCTGTGTTAAGCCTTTATCAATGAAGAGTTAATATCAATGTTTTGTGGATATCATATGCAAATGAATAATGCGTATATAACTTCGTACTTTATTTAAAAGAAATCTTTTTATAATATAAAAATATTTGTTTAAGTACGCAGATATCAATGACGTAAACACAGATATTAATAAAGTAAGCACAGTTTCAAACTTGACATTTGTAAATAAAAATGTAATATTAGATAACTCTGTAAATGTCATGGATCGATTTTACACTCTGTCAATATTATGAACAAGACCTCCCTTCTAAATCGATTAAAAAATCAATATATTTTTATTTTAACAAGTGTCACGGCCTAAATAATGGCATTCTACAAAAACTATTGCTCGAAAAAAAATTACCCTGTTTTTTACGAGTGGACCACTTTATTTAAGAAGTACCTAAAATCTTTTTGAAAATTATAGATATTGATATTTAAAAAAAAGAAACATTAATACGAAAATACTTTTTTAAAAAAAGATAGTATCATGAAGTCCTAACTTGATTTAAAATACCACAATAGTCAAGCTGCTGTCTGTGCTTTGGCAAATACTTGAACTTTAAAACAAACATTAAAAAGACAATGAATCTTTTTTATGTAACCTCATTTTCGCGCTTGCAGAGCTGACATGTCATTTTGTTCTTGAATATATTGTCTACATTCTGGTTTTCCTAGCCACGAACAAATATACAGACAAAAGAAAATATTACAAAATGCTCTCGTTGTTTCTTCAAAATACAAAACAAATATCTTGTTTTAATAATAATAATAATAAAGAAGAAGAAGAAGAAGAAGAAGAAGAAGAAGAAGAAGG